TATAATATAGGGTATAGAGCCCCTGGGACCCGATAAAGTAGGCACCTGGGAAGGTTGGTTGATTTTTGATATCTATAGACGTGAGTGTAGTCTGCTCAATCCCACAGAAGCTTGAGCTCCGAGCCGCAGGCCATCAACAAGCCTTGCGATTCTTTACAGGGCCGTTAGGAAGCATGACTGAAAAAGGGAAGCTCTAGAACTCTTCGTCTTGCACAACGACACAAGTCAATCAACAATTGGGAAACTGCCGTGTGTCCGGAAGAGGTCCATTGCTTAGATCCCTCGCAGCTTCAACCACCTGTCTGTCGATAGCGTCATGGCAGCGGAGTACGACCTGCCGTTTTTGCCACGAGCCAAGCAGCCTCGGGATCACCTGGCCAGGGACATTTGGCAAGTTTATGCGGCTGCAGCAAGCTGAGCCCTGTGAGTCTCTGCCGTCACACCTCTTTTCTCTTGGGGTGAACACAGGCTCGTGGCATGCCAAGCCTCAGGCTCCTCTGGCACTGGGAGAGCTGCTTGGCCCTTCGCCGCAGTTGACCCCAAAGGCTGTTCGCCGCTTGTCGGCTGCTGGGGAATGTCTTCTAAGTATCGCAAAAGCGGTGAGAAGTCATTGAAGTCATGACACAATGCAGGAAGAGGCCCAGGAAGAGGCGCTTGAGGCTTCCTCGATGCCCAGCTGCTCTTGGTAAGCCAATAACTGCTCCTGCGACCAGACACTGCCAAGGCAAGCAAGCAAGCGGCTGCATCTTCGCGCAAATTGACATCCATGCAATCAGAAGGCCTTCAGCTTGTCTGCAGGATGTACAATGGGTCTGCGATTCTGTACCTTGTGCAGCAAAGCAAGCGGCTGCCCAGCTGAATTGTCCATCGGTGCGCAATGTGTCCGAGCCGTCGACATGCTGAAGAGCCTGTGTCAGACTCCAGCCCCTGCGAGCTGCTGCAGCGGAAGAAAGGAGCTGAACCATGATCGTGGGCTCTGAATCAATTGCCATTCGTGACATCTTTGAGGGTACAACTGCCCACTGCCCTGAAGGTGTGCTTGGTCTCTTCAAGCCTTTGTTGAGCTGATGTTGGCCTCCTACCACCGACCAAATGCAAGAGTCAAACTCCCAACTTGTCACATATCTACGCTGATTCGGAATTAGAAGGTTTGCGCGTGTTCGGCACCGCAGATGCAAGGCGGGATGTGCTTGACACATGCACGCACGCAACTAAGAAGGCCTCGTTTCCATCAGCCATGCCAGGACAACACTCGCCTGTCTCCAGTCAGCAACTCAGCAAAGCTTCGCTCTCGACCGGCGCTTTGCCAAGTCGCGGAGCGATTGACGCCGAGAGCGCAGTGCACCAAAACACGTGAGGACGGGTCCTTGAAGGCGGCCTGCGACTGAGGCTCGCATTAGCTTGCAAGGCGCAGAGGCCTACCGCCTCTGCGGCCCTAGCGGAGGCGCGCCTCCAAGAAGTCTTTACATCGCCAGTAGGCACCCGAAGGACGAGAGTCGGGATTTTCCTTCCTGGCCGCCTCAGCAGCCGAAGTCTCACGCGGTCTCTCGGATTGGCAGCTCGGGCCCGGCCCGTGCCTCGAATTCTTCTGCTGTTTGCGCCGGACCAAAGATATCATCCTAGAAGGAGCAAAATATAGGAAAATGTGGCTCCGCAACAGTCCGCTGATCTGGAGTCAACTCTCGGAAGACTGGGCTGTGCACAAATCCGTCGTCTGCCATCGGCACCTCAGCAGCCCGGAGCAGCTGAGAGCTCAGACATCCGCAGTCATGGAGGGCAACTGGGGCCCGCACCCACTCCACTAGCAGCTTGGCATGACGGCCGGGAGCTAACACGTAAAGGTCCGATACGTTCAGCACGTGGGTGATGCCAAGGTCGTTTGCCTCGGACGCCGGACCCACCGAAGTACCGCTGGGCCCAGCCCTCCAAGTGCCTTCGCCAGGCCGAGCGCAGCATTGGCGCCACCCAGGTACAACGAGCCGGGAGAAATCTCCTCAAAGCACTGCATGCACAGAGCACGCAAAGCACGCAAAACACAGCAGAGCACAACTGCGATGCCACATAATGCCGCGGTTCCGAGACTTCAGCCGAAACTTCATGGTGCAGCTGCTTGGCTTGTATGGCTGCCTCTGCGGCCGCCAGGTGCCCACAAGGCTCCACGCCACTGGTCCGAAAGTATTTGAACATCATGGCTCCGGAAGCTAAGTGCTGGGGTAATGCCCCAAATCTGGAGATCTCGCCTTGTGCTGACAGCCGAGGCCGAGGTAACTTAAGCGAAGCTTGCTGATGTGAGTTGAGAGTGGCTTAGCCCCAAGCACACGTGCCATCATGTGCCATCTGCTGCTTGGACCCCCCGGCTGCGTGCCAAAGGTCCCGGTACAAGCCCACATACGTTGCCAAGCATGGTCAAGGTGGCGACAATGTCTGAGAGGGCGCCTTCTCACCTTCTTCTGCTTCTTGAGAGCTGCGACACAGGAGCAGACCGCGAGGCAGCGACACAGGGACTCGTCTCACCTAGCCTCCTGTCGCCGAGACCATCTTTGATTCTTCCTCCGGCCTGGGATCGGACATATACACAGAGGAGCGGAAGGTCCTGAACTAAGATATGTGCGACAGCCATTTCGCCGGCTGGAAGGTCATGTACCCCTTTCTGAAGGTTTTGGCTGGAACCTGTCGAAGACATCGATAATCCGTGTTGATCCAGATGAAACTTGTGCAGGGCCTCCTTCTTGCCCGGCAGCTGAAAGGACTTGAGCAGCAAAACCTTAAACTGGCTGGAGTCGTTCTTGGCGTGCTTTATGATGATTTTCGGACGCCGAACAAGCTAATTGCAAGACGATCCCTCCCTCCCTCCAGATGCAAACGGCAGTTTTCTCTCCAAGTGGCGGTACGACGGTCCGCGGAGGGTCCCACTCCGTTATTCGATGATGTGACCACCACCCAGGATGAGGAGAAAGCCGCCCTCCCACTGGGGGAAAACAT